TAGAATGTGTCATATTCGTTGCTTCCCCAGAAGATTTCTGGAACAAACTGCCAATTGCACATCAGAACCCTTACCTGAATTACAAGGGTACTCATAGCCTCTCTAAACTCATTTTAAGATTCTACTAGTTAAGGACGATAGTGCACTGACTTATGGTATTGCAGGAGCTGCCAAAATGCTCACATATTAACCCAATCAAGCAAACTTAGACCAGGCACCTTCCAAACTGTGGCTCACAATTTAAGGCTCCTCACTGATGTCCCTATTCTGGGTTCTTTGCTTCAGACAGCCCCAGTCATGGCACCTAGAACCCTGCAGCAAGAGGGAAAAATCGTCAGCCTTTGAATCTAACCCTCGTAGGTCTGAACCAAGCTATGCCACTTACTAGCTACCTGACCTTGGGAAAATCACTTTAATCTTTCTGAGGTCTGGTTTCTTCATCTTTAAATTGGGAGATATTGCAGGGATTGTGAGGATTAAATAAATTATAGTGTGTAAAGCATGTGGCACATTGCAAACCACAAAGCAAACACCTGATAAATATTAGTGTTCTTTCCACCCCTCTCTACATTTGTCCACAATCCACCATTATTTCCCCTCCTCACCAGCTCTCCTTCTTTCCCCTGGCACACTTACACACACGCTGGGCATCTCTGCCTCTAGACCATCCTTCAAGCTGCTCCTTCTCCCACCCAGCATAAATTCCCCACCTTCAGGAATCCTCTGGTCAAGATGGGATTGATTTTTCCTTCTCTCAAACTCCCACTTTGTTTACATTCCTTACTACATTTACCACAGTCAGTCTGCTTTCAGTTATTTATGTACTTATCTATCTTCCCAATGACACTGCAGGGAGAAGGCTTGGAAAAGACAATTACTTACAAGAGAGCAGGAAATGTGTTGTAGTCCTCTGTGTATATTTCTCAACAGCAGGGGCTTGTACATGGCAAGAGCACAATATGTTCTTGCTGAATTGGATCTCTCCGCCCAAGACTGGGATTCTTTATACAAAAATCCAGGACTGAGTTTTTTCCTAAAATAATTACTGCCTAACTAAGTAAACAGGCAATTTTAAAAATTTATTCATTTATTGAGTATTTACCATGTGCCTCAATACTATACATTAACATTTATTCCTATGCCTAAACTAAGATCCACTAATACTCATGTGGATTTACTTTATTCCTTTCTCCATTTCCCCACCCCCGTGGTACTGGGAATTGAACCCAGGACCTTACACATGCTAGATAAGTGCTCTACCATTGAGCTATATCCGCATCCCCTTTTTTGTTTGTTTTGAGCTAGGATCTTGATAAGTTGTCCAGGCTAGCCCTGAACTTAGATCCTCCTACTTCAGCCTCCTAAAGATGGGATGACAGGCAGGTGCTACCAAGTCTGGTCTTTTTCATTCTTCCAGCATACTCAGGACTCCTCTTGTTATATTTTTCAGCATGCATGGAGCCACTGTTGGGAGGATGTCTTTTACTCCCACAGGAAGGCAGATTTGGGAGCAAGTTCTTTGGAGAACTGTTCCACTCCACTGGGTAGGAGATGACTGCCATTAAAACCACACTAAGCATCAGATCCGTGGGATCAGAACACAGATCGGAGTGATTTCTATCTGCCTCAGTTTCCTAGTCTACAAAATAGTTTAAAGTACTAAAAACATTGTCAGCACACAGCACTCAATAAATATAGATATTATAATAATAATGTAGTGCTGAGTACGGTAGTACATGCCTGTAATACTAGCTACTCAAGAGGCTGAGGCAGGAAGATCACTTGAATTTAGGAATTCAAGGCCAGCCTGGGTAACACAGAAACTTTATCTCAAAAAACTAAAATAAATAAACATTAAAATTATTTTTAAAAATCTCAATGTAGTAAATTGGAAAAAAAAAAAAGAGGACATTTCACTTCTACAATTATCTCTACCCCATGACTGATTTCTTATGTAATGTAATTTCTTAAGTCTTTCCCCATCTCTGGGTCTTTTCCCATCTGTAAAATGAAAGTGGTAGAACCAGATGGTTCCCAAGCTCCTTCTACCTGATGTATATTTTTCTGTGATCAACAAAGAATCTTTGGTTCCATATGCTGAGGCTGTTGGCAAGGAAAAATGGAATTTGTAGTTGCTGGTAAACAGAATGCTGTTTACCAAGGCCAAGGGCAGAGCAACTGATTAGTCAGCCACCTGTGAGCTTTCCCCTGCATGAACTATAGCAACAACTCTGTGGGTCTCTGAACAGAGTATAACCTCCCTCCCAACAAAACTCACAGCAAAAGCAAGACAAGAGCCAGAAAAAACAGCAGCAGTGGCTCATGCAGAATCCCTGCACTTTCAGGCCTTTGATGCCTGTAACTAGGACATCATTAATCTAAACTAGGGCCCTCCTTAGCCACAAAGAGAAGGAAAACACAAAGTCCTCTTCTGAACCTGAAAGCTCATAAAACAAAGACCAAAGCGAGTAAATAGGAAATGTCACTGACTCACTTAACCACAACATTGCAGATGCCTACTGTGTGCCAGCCCTGAACCAGGCAGAGGAGGAATGAAAGAGACAGTCCCTTGTCTGTATGGGGTGACACACCAAAGGCAGACTGTGATGAGAACTCAATCAGAAATTCAGCCTCTGCTACAGAAGTTAGGAAGGGGAGCAACTAATCCCGCAGGAGGATAAGATGCTTCACCAAGGAGATCACATGAGATATTGGTCTTGAAAGATGAGAAGAAGCAGGGAATGCAAGCAAAGGCTGGAGCAGGAATATGCAGAGAGTGTTTGAAGAACAGAGACTAGTTTATTTTGACTGGGGCAAAGGGTGAAACAAAGAGAAACAGGGCATAAAAGAGGTTGGGAACAGATTATGGGGTCTTGTGTACGAGGCTGAAGAGTCTAAACTGTAAAGCATTTCTTATGTAATCCCTATTAAGTCTTTTCCCATCTCTGGGCCTTTGTGGCAGTGAAGTCCACAAAGGTTTCTGAGCAGAGATACAATACAATCAGAACAGTGTCTCAGGGAGATCATATGGGCACACATGAAGAAGATGCAAAAGGAACTATATTACTGAATTATTATGGGACCACATAATAGGAGGCCACACATTTTCTAAGCATGTGCTGCAATCCAACAGCTCCTGTTAGAGAAGCTTCTCTCTCCCATCGTTTGTCATCATGCAATATGAGTTGATGAGCCCCCCAACCATCAAAATCTGCTAAAGCACTAGAGTAACAGGACTCCCAAAGTCAAGATCCCAGCTAGTTCTCTGCAATATAGAAGAGCAAAGCTGAGGTGGGAAGATTGAAGGGTGAAAGGTAGAGAGAGGGTACCAAATCCTCCAGCTAGCTCAGTTCCATATAAAAACTCTGAGTCTCTTCTTCACATTACTCCCAGCCTATCTCTCCTTAGAGGGGCTGAAGCTAAGGATAGCCAGCTGAAGGCACCTGGCTGATGGCTGAGGATCCAGTGAGACACTATATACCAACTGCCCAACAGGCACTTAGCATATGGGCAGCAGTCAATAAGTATTAGTTCCCTCCCCATGTCACAAGGTCAGTTATACCTGTAAATCCCACTGAGGCTTCAAGGCTCAGGCCTTATCAACTCTTCTTTCAGAGCCCCTCCAGAGTACTCCAGACCAAAATGGCCCAGTTTACAGGAATCACATATTCAGTACCCATTGCATGACAGGTGCTATACTAGATGACTTACATATAATCCTATTCAATTTTCACAGTGGCCTTATTATGCCCATTTTAGAGAAGAGAAACAAGCTCTGAGAAGGGAAATGACTGGCCCAAGGACACACATCTAGGAAGTGGCAAAGGTGAAATTTGAACCCAAGGCTGCCTGATCCCAAAGCCAAGCACTTTCAACAGCACTTCATTTCTGTCATCTGCAAAAGGCCTCTGATCTTCCACTGAGTGTCCTACAGGTAGCCTGGAAGTTCTCTAAGGAAAGAGACTGGGCCTGACGCTATGACCACTCTCCACTGGACAATCACCTGCAGGTGGCAAGGCTTTAAATATTGTATTGTGAAACAAATGAAAACAGTTAAATTTCAAACAATGTAGTAAGCACAGTTCATAAATTCCTCATATGAAAAACTATTCATGATGTTGGACTGCCTGAGCCCTGAGCCCTGCAATAAGCTTGCTCTGTTCTGTTCCCTGGTTAGGACTGAGGCTAATACCGGTCACAGGTTGAGCTCTAAACCTGACACCGACAGTGATCCGACCTGTCACAACACAAACCCCGACAGACCCTAGGCACAGGCTGAGCCCTGACTGGGACATAAACTGAGCCTTGGTCTCAGCATAGACGCAGCCCCGACAGGTCTTAAATGAGCCCTGAAAACCGTCCTAAAAGAGCGTCCCCTTCGCCTGTCCTTTAGCAGCAGAATCGGGTCGTGACCTCTAGCCGCTCTGAGGCCCTGACTGCCTCCTCCCTCCCAGGAACACCGACTCACTCCAGACCCCCGCCCCGTGTTGCTCGGAGGGACATCTGCTGTCTCGCTTTTACCTTAGCTGACCACAGCGGGAGCGGTGGCGCGCACCCCCACCTGCAGGTCTCTCTGCCGAGAACGCGGAAGAGGCGGTGCTAGACCCGGGGGGAGGGCCCCAAGCAGAGAGGGGCGTGAGGGGGCGGTGCTGCGCTTGCGCCCTAATGGCCACAGGGAGGGGTGCGACCTGAGTATCTGCGCATGCGTGACATGCGAAGGGCAGGGAGAGCGCTGGCTAAGGGGTGGGGCTTAGCTCCTTTCCACGCCTTCTTTTCCTAGTTTTAGCGTCCGGAAGCCACTGAAGGGCCTGGAGGGACGAGACCTGGCAGATGCAGGTTTAATCAGTATTTACTGAACTCTTCTGCATGCCTGAAAGGAATTCTAAATTATTTTTATATATGAATAAATGCTGCTAGTCTTCTCTAAAACGGGCTAATTCTGTAAAATTTCTTTAAAACTATGGATGCCTAGAATTTCACTTCTGTGTTTGAGTAAAACATTACCTCCATTAGTAAAAAAACAAGGGAGCTGGGGTTGTGGCTTAGTGGTAGAACACTTGCCTAGTACATGTGAGGCACTGGATTTGATCCTCAGCACCACATTAAAAAATAATAAAGTATTATGTTCATCTACAACTAAAGCATATTTTTTAAAAACAAAATTCTAAAAAGTTTGTTTCTTATAGAAAAACAGCTGTAAAAGGATTAATGCCGCAACCAACCTTGCCACGACACTTCCCTAGGCTGCAGGTGCCATGAGAGGACAGTGTTTACTTGGATTTAATTCAGGTTCTGACGCTCAGTGTTTCCTTCTTTGTAAGATGGAAGTATACATCCCTTCCCTGCCTGACTCAGCTTGTAGTGAAGGTCTGGTGAGCAATGCTACTGAAAGAGCTTCCTGGGGGTTCGGGATATAGTTTGGTTGGTAGAGTGCTTGCTTTGCATGCACAAGGCCCTGGGTTTAATCCCCAACACCACCAAAAAAAAAAAAAAAGAGTTCTTGGACTGTCCATCATTCACGCCCCCCACCCCAACATTTGTTTCCTTTCCCCTTCTTGGGCAGGTTTTCTCACCTGAATGATGGAAGGAGGTGGGGAACATTAAGATTTTGCTAAATTTTCCAATCTGGGTGAAAACTGGGGACATAGAATCTTCTCCCAAGCTTCTGTATTGGGTCCTGCTAGAATCCCTCAGTCCAACCTGAAAGCTCCTGGGTATCCCAGCCTCTCCCACGCATCACCTTTCAGGCCCACCATCAAAACTTTAAGTCCTCAAGAGTCTTGCTGGCCTGTTCTCCTTACTGTCTTAATTGCCAGTTGGTCCAGAGTCGCTCAGGCCTATGTTGTGATCCATATTCTCAAAGTTGCTATGCCCCAACATGGCAAACAAGTTTAGTTAATATTGGATGAGGGTGCTGAGGGGCTCTGAGGAAGGGGGCTCCTCCAAGGCAGCTGGAACTCCAGCCATGTTTGTGGGTTCATTTCACCACATATTCAACAGCTCCCTGCATAGAGTGGCAGAAGTGCACTTAAAAGAGGCTGTAGTGTTCATGGGAGCCAAGGTTGGTGGGGCATCCTCACCAGTGGGATGCTGGGTCCCAGGGTGAAGAAGATGGCTTACTCCCGTGTTCCCTGTTCCCAAGATGATTATGGATCTTGATCCAACAGGAAAACAAAGTCCAGCCTAGGCTTCCCAACCAATCTACTACTTTACCTCTTTTTTTTTTTTTTTTTTAATTTTTAGTTGTAGTTGGACACAACACCTTTATTTTACTTATTTATTTTTATGTGGTACTGAGGATAAAACCCAGGGTCTCACACATGCTAGGGGAGCACTCTACTGCTGAGCCACAACCCCAGCCCCTGTTACTCTACCTCTAATGCTTTGCTTCTCTTAAGTCTCTGTTCTGCTAGGTTTTGCCCTATTGCTGAGGAGAGGCTCTTTTCTCAAGTCACTAAGCCCCAGTTCTTTCTCTTTCTTTCTCTCTCCTCTAAGCATCCCTCTCTGAATCTCTCAAAGCAATTTTTGTGTTGGCTTCTTGCTGTCTTAATTGCCAGTTGGTCCACAGTCACTCAGGCCATGTATGGTGCAAACCTTGGGCCACACAGTTCTGAGATAAATCTTCATTCTATTTCAAAATGACCATGAACCCAGCGCATGGACTTTCTAACAGCCTGATATGTCCAATGATTGCGGAGGTAGTGAGCAATCTGACATAGGATTTGTGCAAACAGCACCCTCTTAGGATGCTGGACTAAGGACCTCCTCTGGAGCACCAGAAGAAGGAACAGAAGAATGTAGGCCTTTCAGATTCTAGAGCAGTGAAAGGATGAAGGGATACTGGAGTCTGCAAGAGAAGCCAGCTAGCTAAAGACAAACTTTAGCTAGCTATTATATGTCAAGCACTCACAACTGTACCTGAAACATAGCAAGCATTAGCTATTATTATTAATATTATTATGAAGGATTCATAGACTGTCTAATGAAGGTGCTTAGAGATCAATCAATCCTTCACTCCTACTTCTGATGTGAAATAGCTGAGGAATTCAGGTTTAAAGGAGGGTTGGTACTTATATGGAACTTTGGCGGGGGATGGGACTGGAACCCAGGTCTCTACTTCCAAGCTTCTGTACAAAGCCAGGCTGGCACTGTTGCACGTAGAAGGGGAGCTCTAGGTGGGCCTTTGCTGACTTGATAAAAACCAAGCCAAATGGATAAGATGGTTAACAACAACAAAAAGTACCAAGCTGTTTTTCAACTCCTATCTGGAAAGATTGTGGGTTAAGGTCAGTGGGATAACAAGACCTGAGCCAAGAGATTCAGATGTCTTCTGGGGAATAAGCTCAGGAGTTAGCCCCATGTCCTACCTCCACCACTTTGAGATCCAGCCAACAACAAACACCTTCCTTCTGAAATGGCTTCCTTTCCTATAATTAAGGTTGGGACTCTATATCCACTGTCCCTTCATTTGTTAGTTCTCCTAACCCCCATATGAAGGGGTGAGATCTTAACTATAGCCAATGCCAGGTAACTTGAACTAAAACTAAGAAAATTTCACCACCAGATTTGAGTACTCCAAAGGCAAGGGCCAGCCCTCTGCTTCCCAAGGGTCTAGAATTCTCAGAGTCCTGGGAGAACCTTAGGACTGGAGAGCTGGACCAGACATGATCATACCAGCCAGCCAACTACATGGCCCATGTTCTGAGGGCAAAAAGCCCTTCCAGCCCCATTCTGGCCTGGCACATTCCATGGTCTGCCAAGAGCCATGTGGCACCCAGACCACAGCTTCCCACAAGTGGATGCTTTAGTTGGTCTCTTTTACTTTACCAAAAATAACAACAATAAAGTCTCCCTTCTATTTCACAAAAATAGATTTCCCTCCCCCTGACCCCTATGCCATCAGCCCTTGCCACAGTCTAGAATCCACCGTGTAAGCTGCAGTCCACTCTGGGGGGAAGCTCCTACTCCCCTCACTCCAGAGCCGCAGACAAAGCTGCCAGGCCAGCATGTTTCCCTTGGGAACTTCTCTGGAGGCAGCAAAGGCAGAAATCCCAGGCCCAGATGGCTGGCCCCAAGAGCCCCATCTGTTTCCCCATTGGGCAGGCAGTTCTAGGCTGTCAAGAAGGGCATAATTTTGGAGGCTTGGCTCAGCAGGCAACCCAGCCAACCCAAGGGGTGGTGGGGCTCTCTGGCTAGAAATTCTTGCTCAGAGCAGGAACAGCTGTGTCCTGAAGAGGGTTTGTAAAACCCTTTTTCCATGTGCATTTCTGTGTAACAATCAGGTCCTCATTTTGGAGGCAAGCCCCTGATCTTTAATCCAAGTCCGTGAAAGACAGTTTTCCCCTCTTCTCCCAGCTTTAGTATCCTCCTTTGTACAATGAGAGACAGACTGGATTATTCTCAGGTCCCTCTGGTATTCCATCCTGGCCTCCCATTATAGAGGCTTTGGGAGGGCAGAATCCTGTTCCTGCCTTAGTTTCCCCACCTGTGTTGTGTGGGCACAGGGCTGGGCAAGAAGTTATTGAGCAGTGAATGAACATCCCAGTCTCTCTGTGGATGGCTGTGCTTGGAGATCCAATCATCTGGAATGTCTCAGGAATAGGTGGGAAGGAGGCAAGTACTTTCAGGATGGCGTCTCTCCATCAGCTATAAGATCCTCAGTGTCCTGGGATGGGAGAGAGGACTTCAGATTTCCCAGTTCAAATCCACTGGATCCTTGGACTGGAGGATTATTTTGTGCTGGGTTTCAGATCCTAAGAGTCAGTTTTGTATATTCTGGGAGCTAGAATGGAGTCCAGGATTCCTGGTTTAAAAGCCAGGGGACCTTTGTGAACATTAGAGATCATTCCCAAACCCCAGGAGGCACTCTATTATCAGGGCTTTCTGGAGACATGGGCATCCCTGATCGAGCAAATCAGAACCCACATCTGTGGTGGGCCAGAGGATTAAGGAACTCAGGGTAAGCTTCCCCCTTCCAATCTCTACCCAGGTCCCCAGGATTCATACTAATGGAAGATGGTACCCTGGAAGCTTCCACCATAAAGGTACATCTACACTTGTACACATGGTCAGATACCCTGAGAGGGGATAACAACTTGTCAAGACTCCTACAGTGGTCATGGTCTAATGGTCCCAATCTCTTCATGCATCCATTCATCTCTCCATTCACCCAACATCTATGGAGAGCCTACTATGTGCCAGGGAGGGCCTATCTCTCACAGATAGGCATCTCATAGTCAAGATCTCACACACACACTCACACTGGCATCTGTGTTCCAACTTACATAGAGGCCACTTACTCTCTTGCTGTCACCTCAGCCACAGTCACATCCACATTCCCCAAATAGGAACCACTATGGAAAGGTCAGAGAAGAAACTGGATAGCCCACCCTTCTCCCAGACTTCATGCCAGGGGGTTTGACTCCTCCTTTCTTTCCATTTGCCCACTTGAAGCCCTCCCTTCTCTATTCACAAGCAGCGAGGAGGACATGTAGGCAGACTTCTGAGAACCAGAAGTCTACAGGTATTGAGTATGTGGAGGGGTCCTAGGGCCTTCAGATTCCTCTAACATCAGACTCCCAAGGATGCCCTCCCCCAGCCACGCTGTTGCAGATGGTCCATCTGATGAGCAACAATGTCCAGGACTAGGCTCAGTGACAAATCCGCTCTGTCATTTCCCTCTGTAGAGACACAAGGTGAGGAGGGGTCAGTCTGAGTTCATCTTGCCAGATAGCCACTTCCCAAACCATAGGACCCAACCATTCTTCTGTTTGAGCCTGGCCCCTCCCGCCCTGGACCCCAACTGTAGTCTGCAGACTGGATTCACTGTAGCATGGAATCCATTGTCGAACGAATTGCTTCCCCTAACGTATTCACTTGGTTATTTGAATTCTGTATAGTAGGCAGCCTTTGGATCTGAAAACTCCCAAAAGCTAGCCTTGGCAGGGGAAGCAATGGAGTTTTGGCCTCACCAGTGGCTCCAGCTCCCGCTGGTCTACCAGGCTGAACTCTCGAATGAAGTAGTAGAAGTGCTTGTAGCAGGTGTTGACGTGTGCTTCTGCCCCCATGCTGAGGATGCTGTCGAAGTGGTGGATATAGACATGGACAAAGACTCGGAAGAGGCGGGTCAGGATCTTGGTACAGACCTGCTGGAAGTTCTTGGGGAAGGGAACACCTAGAGGCCAGAGAGGGACAGAAAGAGGGATCAACATCCTACTGACAAAATTTTGCCAACCCTCCCCTCCCCACACAGATTGCTTTTACTGTTTGTTTGTTTTTTTCTCCCCAGTACATATCTCAGCACATTTGTCCTGGAGAGAGAGAAAAAGAGAGAGGAGGACAGGGAGTGTGAGCCAGAGACAGCCAGCCAGACAGACATGTTTTGTTATCTCCCATGTTTTTTTTTTTCCCCCCAGTGCTGGGGACTGAATCCAGGACCTTCTGCATGCTAGGCCATTCCAGACAAGTGCTGTGCCACTCAGCTCTATCCCTAGCCTCTCCCATAGTATATTTTTTAATGAAGCACAAATCTGACTGTGCCTCCCTGCTGCTGAAATGTAAATCAGCTTCTAAGTTTTCCCATCCTCTAAAGCAGGGCTTTGCAACTTTGTTGCCGGTGACTGATCAACCCTTCTCAGATCATGATGAAAGTTATGGCTCAAACTCTCCCCAAGCAAGGTGTGTATCTGCAGGGATGCTCACATCACACCCTTGTATACAATTCCAAGGAGGGGTGATTTGGGTCTGCAGGGCTGGGATTGTGGCTCAAGTGGTAGAATGCTTGCCTAGCACCTGTGAGGCAATGGGTTCGATCCTCAACACGACACCAAAATAAAATATTGTATCCACCTAAAACTAAAAAATATTAAAAAAAAAAGTTTGGGGTCTGTTTTTAAAATCTTGTGCCTTCAGGACTAAGTCCTAACTTCCCAGCATGGCATTGCACAAGGTCTTTCATGATCTGATCCTGACCTCTCTCTACTGCCTCATCTTGAATCCCTCCTCTTTTCAACATTCACACAGCAAGTCCCAGACTCCCAATGATTAAAATTACTAATTACTAGAACCAGTTCATATATTCCTCATTTTTTCAAATATGCAATAGCACAAAGAACCTTCTATCTGTGAGCCTGCCCCTAAGCTGGGTCTTTTGAACCTTTGGCCTCTAAATCCTTACAGTTTGGCTGATGGGTCTGATAACCATTCTAGATATGATAAAATGGAGGTGGTGCTTAAAGATTAAGTCACTTGCCCATTGCCACATAATTATTAATTAGTACAGACTGGAGGCAGGATTCAAGCCCTCTTTATACTACATGGCAGCAACCCTCAGAAGTAAATAATAAAGACCCTGCCCTTGGACCTGTGGAAAAGGTAGTTTGTGCACAGCCCCCTATGCTCCCTTATGCTCAGGGCAGAGGTCTTGTGGTTTATGTCCTCTTCTCCATTGTGGCAGAGTCATCCAGGGTTAAAGGAATGGATATCTGGGGGTATGGCTATCTCACAAGCCCAAGGATATAAAGCTAGAAGGGAACAGAGCCCAGATTCAGGTCCATACCTGGCTCATCCAGTCCCACAGTCCCCTTTTTCCCTCATTGCTCTTGGTGGGATTAAGCCTTCCAGGTCCATCCCAGGCCTCTCACACTTATCCTTCCCATCAACACATTGGGTCCTGGTCTCATAACACAAGACATGAACTCTAGTTCTGACTCTTTCCTAATTCAGTGCACTTTCCCTCTTGGCCTCAGTTTCCTCCTATGTAAAATGAAGGTACTATTGTTGGGCATGATAGTACAGGAAATGGCAGCCACTGGCTGGGGAGGAGCTGTGGGCATTGAATTGTGACTCAGTGCCAGGCTTTCCTCAGCATTCAGACTTCTCCCCTCTGGGCCTGACCACCCTGCCACACCTATCTCTGAGTCTTATAGCCTTAATAGAAATGAGCATGAGGCTGGGTGGGAGCGGGAGCCCAGGATACAGGTGGGGCTGCTGTGATGCACACACTGTCATGCCTGCTCAGCCCCTGGGTGAGGAAGCAGGGTCAGGGTGACATCACTCATCTCCCCTCCCCACCCTCACCGCCCAGGCTGCACAGCTGAGATAAGAAAATATCTCACAAAGGAAAATTCTGCCCTCAGAGCCTTGGTCTACAGTAAAGATATCATCTAGGTTCATCCAGGTTCCAATCTCTTCTCTTTCCTGGGGCCAGGAATCAGAGGGAACTCCCAGAGGATGGAGTAAGATCAGCCCAAGAAGGCAAACCTGTTACAAATAACTTGGGGCACCTGTTCTGGAAGGTTCTGAGAATCATGGTCTTGCTGGAATGGTCTCTGGTGGGGCACTCATGCTTGGGTCAAGAGCCCCCAAAGGGAATCAGACAGTCCTAGTTAAATAGCTGATAAATAGCAAGATACTTGCCCTTGTCTCAACCTCTTCTTGTATGATAGCAGAATGAAAGTAACCTACCCTTCAGAGTTGCTATATCAAACTAAATGCCTCAGCTATGGATTGGGCTCCTGGGGGCTCCCTCCCTTCCAGGCCCTGCTGACCCTCCAACCAGGTGGTGCTCACCAACACGCGTGGGAAAGACATCCTCATCATTGATGAGGCCCTCGATCCAGTCCATGAGTAATGCCATATAGCGTGGAGCGGAGAGCTTGGCCGGCCGCCGGTACTGGCGCTCGTCCTGCCAGCGGTATTCGTATCGGGGCCCGCCGGCCATGACCGGGCAGCTGGACTCACTGCAGCGCTCAGCCATGGTGCCATAGATGAGGTTGATGCGGTTGAAGAAGTCCACCACGTGCACAGCGATCCAGTCATCGATGTTCTCGCCAGGTGGCAGCCTCACCACACTGCGCAGGTCCAGGCCCGACTTGAGTGATGCCTGTGCCTTCTTATAAAGCTCGAAGCGCTGTGTGCCTGGCTCAAAGCGCTTTCGCGGCCGGAACGTCTTGTCCTTGGCAAACACCTGCTTCAGGCAGAGAGCCATGGCTAGGCTTGGTAGGGCCAGGTGTCCAGGGGCAGGGATCTGAGGATGCTCTGCCAAGCACAAGGGCAGGGGTGGTGGTGGTCAGGGCCTTATCAAATGGGCTCTGACTTCTCAACACAACATTTGGGTCTCACCTCTCAGCCTGAGATCTGCTCCCTCCACGTGGAATGGAAATCCTCATCCTCCAGGCCTAGGGCCCCACCCCTTTCCAGGCTACCTTAGTTCTCCTTCTAGTACCCACATGCACCTCTTATCTTGTTTTGTTTCCTCTGCATCTCATAGTGGGCTGGGTCTGGGCTCCAAAGATAGAGACTACTGCAGGCTCAACAGGAGACAGGGGCCTGGAAGAGATGACTGACCTCTGGGAGCCCCACCTGTTTAATGTGGGAGAGCCTAGCTGCATTGTGCTGTGGGGAGAGGGAGGGCCCTGGCCTCCACTTCCTCTGGGATAGTTTATCCGGCCACCGGGGATTCCCAGAGAGCAGGAGGGACTTTTCTACCAAAAATGTCCTTTCCTTTTTCTTTACTCTGAAAGAGGAAAGGGACCTTACGTGGCCAGCTGGGTGGCCGCTGAGTGTGGCCACAGGCACTGGAGGAGGGGGAGGGTGGCCAGCCTATAAAAGCACTGCTTCCTCTGACAATGGCTGCAGGTTCTTCCTTTCAAGCCAGCCTCCTCCTGATCAAGCATCTCGGGCCTTCCCCCTGCATCCGAAACACTATAAACATTTCTACCACATCTACTGTGCACCTGACACTGGAGGGTAGGAGAGTGCAGTCAGATTTACCCGGCTGGGCCCATCTAGAACTCAGACATGCAATGCTTTTTTCCATTGCCCCCTACAATGGAAGTATCCCAGAAAACAGAACAGACTTGGGAGAGAGGCAGCAATCAGCCCCAAACAAAAAGGCAGGAGTGCTGGGTTCACCACTGGATTGCTCGGTGACACCTGTAGCACCATAGATTTAAACCATTCAATTCCTGTGTCACTATGATACAGCCAGATTTTTGAGTATCTGAGGGCATCATCTCATCTCCCCTGTGAGTGTGTGAGCTATTGGGAAATGCAGACCAAGATACCTGCTGAGACTGGAACTTAGCCACAAACTGAGCACTGACCCTGGCCCCAGACTTAGCACTAAGGCCAAGTATAAGCTAAGCAGTGAGCTTGGGCTCCAGGCTGAACTCTGACTTGGCCTTGACCCTGGTCAGTCTGAGCCCTAACTCTAGGCCCACAATGAAACTTGAATACAGTCAAAGACAAAGCCTGGTCTTGACTTCAGAGTGACTGAATGACATTGGAGCATTTTCCTTTCTCACATATCTGGTAATTGTTGGGACAAGACTGAGGAAGGGAGGGTGGGAACAAGGTGACAACTGTTTGTAGCTAAAGGCATGCCACATATGGGCAACAACTCAGACTAATGGAGGAGATGTTGGAACTAGGGTCCTTCCTTATACCCATAATAGGCAAGCCAGGATGGTTACTACAGGCAGTTTGGAGAGGCCTCCCAGCAGGATCTTGCCCTCTGGAAAAAAACCTTGAACATGTGGAAGTTCCTCTCATCCATCATGACCCATTAATTTCTTCCTGAAGAAGTGCCAGGACCTGAGCTTCTTTTCTCATCTCGTTTTGAGGTTCTAGGAAATGAATACAGATCCTCGCACATGCTGGACAGCATTCCACCACTGAACTACATCCCTGATCCAGCACCTGAGCTTCCTGAAGCAAAGAAGAGGAGGTATCTAGGCTTTAGTTTTCATCTCTGTTTTAAACCTGTTTGGGGTAGGTGCTTCCAGAATCACTCACACACACTGCCATTAGGTGGGGGTTCCTGGGTGCTCTGCTTTTACATGGCCCCTTTTACTGAGAGTTATAGACATCCTGGCATTCAACTCCATACCCTACCTCTCTAGCCTCACTTTCCGCTTCCCTACACAAACTACTTTGCTTCTTCCTGATTTCTGAACACACCTCCCATTCTCCGGTCTGTGTGTTTTCTCCAGCTGCACCCTGCCTGAACATACTCCACCAAGTTGAATGCCACCTCCTCCTGCAGCCTCCTCTACAGAGCTTGATCTCCTCTTTGTATGGAGATGTCTCTTTGGCCACTCTCTCTCCACCCCATGCCTAACCTAATTCAGGGGCAGGCACAAAACTGGTGCTCAGTTTTTAAGGGAGTTTTAGTATTAAAATAGCCCTGAGAAATCAACTGGTCCAACCCACTTGTAAAGATAGGGAAACTGAGGTCCAGAAAGGAGACTTGAGGACACTGCATTCACATAACAAATTACAGGCAGAACTGGGAATTGGGATAAAGAGGGATTCAGCCCATGACAAGGAGCAAAAGACCATTTTCCTGCACTGGCTGGTCACTGGCCTGGTGGAGATAAGGACAGAGAGTGGGGTGAAGGGAGAGGGGCAACATCTTCCCCACTAATCAGACCAACCTACTTCTTTCCCCCCCAACACACTGACAATACCCTTGGCAACTTGGTTGTCCTGACTAGGAAGCTAAAGTCCCACCTACCTGCTGTAGAATTTCAAGGCCTTGGACTTTTACTAGGAAAATGTAAGCTGAGGGTCAGTGCAGGCAGGTCTTTACTCTCCACCCTGCTCTCCCTGAACCACTACCCATTCCCCCTCTTAGTCGCTATTTCCTAATGCTGGGCAAATGGCCAGTGGCTTGCTCACTCCTGGCTGTGCATCTGGACTCCCAGATAAAGACCACAGGGTGACCCTGCCTGTTTTCTGACATTTAGCCCCCTGCCCGGGCCACACCCACCCCTCCTTGGACCTGGCCAGGGAACTCAGTCAAAGGATAGTTCCAGAGCGAATTAAGAATCCAGCACGGGGCCCCCTGCAGGACAGATATCCTGGCAGCGCTCGGCCAGCCATGCCCACCCCAGTCTCCCCTGGACCTTCTAAGAACCTCTCCCCTCTCACCAGCTGTCAGGGCAAGCAGGTTGTGGGACCCAGAGGAGCCAGCCTGACATTTCCGCTCCCGAGGACACGCCCCCCTCAACCACCGCCACCCCCAACCCAGACTTTCGCTACTCTGAGTCTTCGGCCTCGAGTTGACTGTGGTCACCCTGCTTTTAGGCCAGAGTCTTCTCCGGACCGTGCCATGCCGGGACCGTGGAAGAAATGAAAGTAGAAGTAAGGCAGGGACCCTGGGGCGCGGGCGCTCACTCACGGGGTCCGCCAAGACGGGAGAGCTTGAATCTTTCTTGGGCTGCGGTCACATGCCAGCGCGCTGGGTCGCCCTCCTGTGGGTCTTCCTGCTCGGCAGCTCCCCTCGCCTGCCTGCCTGTCCTGCTCCGCTGCGGCCGACCTCCTGCCCGCAGGGCGACGCCAGCTCCGCCCCGGGCCCAGCCACGCCGCGGCCACGGGGCGGGGAGGGGCGGGGACAGGGACTCCCCCACCCCAATACACAACACTTCACTTGCGCTTTTCCGGAAAGTCCATATCAGGCTCCCAGCTTCCCGCTGAGCAAGGCACTAACTGAGGGGTCGGTCCTCTGGGGGTCTTCTTGGCCCTTTAGACTGTAATGTGGACATGTCCAGCTTCTTTTTGGAGCAAACAAAAGGGCTGCTAGATAAATGGTGGTTTTCTTGCCTTCCTGGAATCTTTGGTGCCTCACTTGTCCCTGAACTCAATAAGAGAACCTGTCTGCCCTATCCACAGGGAGCAGGCGCTGAAAATCCACTTCAGTGAATGAATGAATGAATGTCGTCTGTCTTGGGAACCATGAAGTGAACATCTCCTGAGAGGACTGACCCCCAATTAGTGCTCAAATCAACAGACTTCACCTTTCCCATCAGGGCATGGGGTATAGGGTGGCTTCCTCTGGCTGGACTGATTCTCACTCCTCACCTAAAGTCACCCATTTCCCATCTCCAGATCTTTGTTACACCTGTTCCCTCTTTGGAATACCTTCTTTTGCTCCTTCCTTCCTTCCAACCAAATCCAAATCCTTCCAGACCTGATCTGCTCTGCCTACTCCTCTACCTGGATTCTCTCTTGGAGACAGATAAGTATCTCACATTAGTGTTCAATTATGCTGTGATCCAGGTCCAGGAGCAAGTCACCTGGCTCTGTTTGGGATGGGAAGGAAGATTGGAGGTCTTCCTTGCCAGAAGGGCCAAGGCAGACAGCCGGGCTGCAGAAGTCACTCTGGAGGAAAGTGGGAGATGAACAGGTACAAGTAGGGGAGAGCTGGAGGCCATAGATGGGCACATACCATGGCACAGATGTCCCAGTGGGCTCCTCTTAGGTCTGGACCTGCTTAATCAATGACATGGAAACCCCAGATCCTTAGGGACTTGAGGGCTGGGGGAGTAGTTCAATGGTAGAGAGCTTGCCAAGTATATGTTGAGGCCTTGTATTCAATCCCCAGTACTGGGGGATGAGAGTTCCAGCTTAGAACTGAGGATCCATTCTGTTATTGAGCACCCATTTTTCTCGTGTCTGAAGTTCTCTATATTTTTGTGTCTGGGCCTTATTGTGCTCCAAGTCCCCAATAAGAAACACTTACCTATGGAGAGAATTCAAATCTACTCCTTTATTTAGTATCCTAACCAATACCTTTTATTGAGCATGATTGTGCACAGAGATCAGGGGATTGGATGATGACGTTTATCCAGTTACTGACTTCAGGTGCCGACAGGTCAGCAAGGGGAAAACACATCCACAGATAACACAGGTCATCCAGAAGTGAGAATATGGTTGAGCACTGATGGCTGAATTCTTGGTAAGAATGGGGATGTCTAAAGGAAAGATGCAGAACACCCTAACTGGGCATTTTTTAGGAGGGGTACTGGAGATTGAACTTAGGGGCACTTGACCACTGAACCATACCCTCAGCCCTATTTTATATTTTATTTAGAGACAGGGTCTCACTGAAATTGCTTAGTGCCTTGCTTTTTCTGAGGCTGGCTTTGAACTCTCAATCCTCCTGCCTCAGCCTATTGAGCCTCTGAGATTACAGGCATGCGCCGCCGTGTGGGGCATACTGGGCATTTTGAGCTCTCAATATGAGTTTAATAAAGGAACTATTGATAGGTAGAGTTGTGGTGTGGGAGAACCATGAGGATATGTAACACCAAAGGATTAGCAAAGGTGGTGGGTAGCTGTCAGCCCTAAGCTGAAGGTGCACAGGACAGGTAAGATTAGGATGTATGGGTGGGGGGCCATTGACAGGCATTGGGGCCTACAGGGGAAGAGCATGATCAGTCCACAGCAATCAAATGGAGAAGGACTGGGGAAAAATAAGGGACCTCACTTCCCTCCCCCACTCCCTCCCATCTCTGGCCAGGTTCCTCATTAGTGGAATCTCACCAGAAGCCAAGGACAAGGGAACTTGTTGCTACAGCCAATAGGGGTCAGTTTCCTGGGCACAGGACTGGATGGAGGGTGGAGATCTGGAGAGTCAACATGGGGTCAGGGCTGACTTTACAGAGGAAATGACTTAGAAACTCCTTGTGCTTTCCTTATCATTCAGTTCTAAATATTTCACAAATTTCATTGTAATTTCCTCTCTCTTAACTCTTGGATGATTTAGAAGTGTGTTTTTAGTTTCTCACCCTATGAGAGGTTTATGTTTTTCTTGTTGACTTCTACTTATATTGCATTGTGGTCAGAGATCATGGTCTGTGAGATCCTTTGGAATTTGATGTGACTTCTTTTGTGGCTTCGTACATGGTAATTTTCTGTGCCTCTGAGTTGGGTTTTATAGGATGGGCAGGAATTTGGTGAAGAGTGAAAAGCACAGAATCTCACACTGTGGGAAATAGGTGGCCCATTTAGAAGGAACTTCAGAAGTTTCAAATTCATCTGCACAGTTCTGGGTGTGTGTGGGAAGGGAGGCAGGTAGGAGTGGGGTCAGAGATAGCCCAGATCCTTCAAACACCTGCCCCCTTTCTGTTGCTCTCAGTTTGGGCTAAAGAGACTGTGTGTTCTCCCAGGAGGCCTGTTGGAGCTGAGAAGGCCCAGATCTTGGAGATCCTGGCTTTACCATGTATTCACTGTGTGATCTTGGGTTAGTCTTGCCTTCTCTGAGGCATGTACTGCGCACCCACACCAGAGAGGCACTCTTCCCTGCTACTGTGTCCTGAGTGTAAATGGCTTCAGAAGGCTCAAATGAGGCCCATCTTAGCAGCTTGATAGGAGCCAATGAGGACCTAGGAGAGTATATACTCTCTTCCACTGCAGAATCTTGGCACATACCTCCATGCCAGTGGCTCCAAGTGACAGCATGGTGGTATCCAAGGGTCATGAGATCTGGACTCCTGTCCTGGGTCTCCCACTGCTCTATATTTTTCTGAGAAAGCCCCTGTCCCTCATTGGCCCTCAATTTCCACATCTGCGCCACAAAAACATCTTCCAACCTAATATCAAGTACCTTATCAAAACCTAAAAAGCTTCTGGCCCCTTGCCCATCTGGACCTGCACCCAGTGACTCCTTGGATACAGAGTGGTCTCTCCTGGGGACTCCATGGGCCCTCCCATGCCAGGAAAGGTTCTCCATCCCCATCCCCTTCCCAGAATGAGCTACTATACCTACAGTGTACCTCACCAGGTACATCGCATCCACTATAACTTTTTAGGTCTGCCCTCTCCTCACTTGCATTTAAGAGTTTCTGTTTCAGCTTCTGCCCTTTCCTGCCCAGGAGGAAGGATCTTCCATCTTGGATCTCCTATCCTGGCCCTTTGAGGAGACAGCATGGCAGTAAGAGAAGTTGAAGTGAGACTCCCTTTGGTGTGAAGAAGACAAGGTTCAAGGGAATATGGCGGGGGAAGACAGGGTTGACAAAGATGTACATTAAAATTCAGTGTTACCTTAGACAAAGCACTTGTTCTCTGAGCCTATTTCCTCTTCTCTAAAACAGAAATAACATCTGCTCCATAGAAGGGATGGGGAATGATAGCCCCTGTAAACAGCAGAAGGCAGTGGCTAGTCTGTTTCAGGGATGCTGCCTTCAAACACCCAGCAGGTGTTTTTGTAGAGTAGGAACTGAGTTTATTCTAGGCTCCTGGAGGCAGAGACCCAGACAACATGAAGAGACACTGGCAGGTCAGAATTGTCCAACCATGCAGCCTAGATGCTTGTGCTCTTTCTTGGGAGGGAAGTGTGCAAGCAACCCTGTGACAAGGTGTTCAGGGACTCAGTCCTTCTGATGTGTAGGAGGGCCCCCTTGCCTCCAAGAACTGCTTCAAGATTCTCTGGACTCTCCCAGCATCTTATCCATCATTTGAATTGAAGGCATTGCCCCCAGCTGTCCAGGTTTAAGGTCCTCCATCTTCAGAAGGAGACTTTTGGAGGTTGTGTCAGAAGCCCAGTTTGTGTAAAAGTAGCTTAAGGCAATTTCATGTTCCCCTAGACCTGACCTTCAATATGGTCCTGGTAGATGATTAGTCCCTCCAACTACTTGGTTTGTTCCCAGTAGAGGTTGACCCCAAGAGTGGAGGTGATAGTTGGGGAGTGGATTTCACCAGTGTCCCAGACTTAGCCTTCCATAGAACCTACCACAAAGGCTGTACAGAAAGTTCTGTCCCACCCTACCTTCTTCTCTGCTGTTGTGGTTTCTCACATTCAGCCTTTGGGGCTACCTGCCTAGAGCATCCAGTTCAAAGCCCTTCTACAGGATGCTTCCTCAGATTTCCCCAGACCCTGTGGCACTTTCTTCCTCCAAGTATGTTCACTAACACTTGTCTCTGAGTCACCAGTGGAGATGGGGGTGATTTTATAGTCCCCAGAGGGCTGGGGTGATATCTTTTTGGTATTAAGAGTAGAAAATTAGTATAGTTTTAATGTCTTAGAGAGAGAGCATTGTCATTCATTTGACAGGTGTTTTCTGAGGGCCTGTTAGGTGTTAGGCACTGTATCTGGGCCAGGTTATGTGGGTGATGACAGAGGCCTCAGTCTTCGAAGGTGCTTCCCCTGGTCCAGGTGTCTCTCTTCCTAGCTCAGAAGACTGAGGCTGCAAAGGATCATTAGTGAGTGACAGAGCAGGGAGGAGGTGAGTTTTAAAGGGGAAGGGTTCTTAGATATCACTTAAACTCTTTGAAGTACATGGGGAAACTGAGGCACAGGGAGAAACAGGGATTGGCCTAGTGCTAAATCATAAAATAAAACCATTCACAGAACCTTCTATATACCTATGATGAGATATATATTATCATTTCTTCCTCTCAGTAACCCTGGGAAGAACAGAAGGAGGTTGTTTTTTGAGAGCTTTAAAATAGTACCTTCAGGGATGGAGGGGCAGGAAAGAGAGACAGTTCACCAAGTGGGGAGCCGGGATTGAACATGTTAGTATGAGATCCCAAACCCTGCCTTGCAGTGCTCTCTGGGTCCTCTCCAGGCTTCAGTTTTTGGAGATGAGAAGTTGTGTCTGCTGCCTACAGACAGCCTGCAGGCAAGGGTGGGGCTGACTTCCTGTGCCCCAAGGAGTCTGGATTCCACACAACTACAACCCGTGACTCCCTGCAGCTGTCATCCAGCTTGTCATAGGGCTGTATTTGGGGCCTTTTCAAGAAGTGATTGGAGGAGCTCTGCTTTGCCCAATGCTGAGTGGACTAATTGTGTGCTCTTCTCTTCTGGGAGTGACTCCAACTGCCTGGAACCAGCCCTCCTCAGGGGGGAGCCAGTGACACAGAAAGTTCTCAGTGCTTTGCAGATGCATTCCTTGGTTAAGCCCATGGAGATTTTGTTTCCCCCTTTCTATGGCAAACCCTTAAAAATGGGGTTGTATTTATTTTATCTCCTTCCATGGAACTCCATAGCAACAATTGACAGTTGTAAGAACTTTCTGGCTTAGAGTGCTTTCCCTAACTCTGGTCCTTCTTTGAGTCCTTCCACAACTTGGGGAGGTGAATATTGACTCCAAAAGGTGAAATGATTTGGCCAAGAGGCACAATCCACAATGACAGAGCTGGGACTCAAACCCAGGCCTCCTACCTCCATTCAACAGGGCTCGACCTTCTGCTCCCACCACCTGAATGCTTAGTTAGCAAATAAACCATTTAGAGAACTATCTCCAGTGAGTTAGAGAAAGCAGAACAAATCAGTTTGGGGAAGGGAGATAGACATACTTTTCTAAAGATGTTCTGAGAGTGTAGATAATGCAGGTGTTTGAGTCTGGATCCATGTTAAAGCAATTAATAGTATTAAGTACATGCACCATCCTCTGTAACCTTGACACCATCAAGATTTCCAGCCTCTTTTGATACCCTTGCAAGTGCTGGGGCAGGTCATATTCCATACATTCTATAGATGGCAACCAAGGGAGAAAGTCATTTAGTGTGAGCCATGAGTAGAAAAAGAGAGAGATAGGAAGGGTGCCAAGTATAGAGAGGAGAAAAGGGTTCAAGAAACTCAAGGCTATCTGAGAGTTGCTTGCCTCCCGGGAAGAAGGCCTGAGGTAGACCACCACTGAGCTTCCCTGACCTTGGGAGCATCCCCTCTCCACAGGGGCGCCCAGAGGACACACTGCAGGCTGCTGGCTTTGAGACAACTGAGAAAGGCAAAAAAATTCCAGCCAATCAACCCCAGCTTCAATGGGGTGTAAGTCTCCCAAAGAGACTGTAGCTGAGTTCCCATCAATCCCTTCACACCCTCCACTGCTGCCTGCCTAACTCCATATATCATCTCTCTCTGCTCACTCACAACAGGAGAGAACAACTGCACAGAGGATGAATGGAAAGCTGCAGCCTGCACAGGCAACACACAGTTCTCTGGACAGCCGTGGGGCCAGGCCCAGATAAGCCAGGGCTACAGCAAATCCAGCATTTGGCTCCAGGGATTGTGAAAGTCTCATGTCTTGAAATCAAACAAGGAAAATATCTGGATAATGAGAGTCTGGAAAGGCCTCTGTTTTCCTCTTTTCCCCCTTTGAGTTCTTCACCTAAGATTTGCTGGGAACACATAATTCATCCCAGAAATCTTCCCTAGAGGCTGACAGTTATTCCTTGGTGTTTTTTTTTTTTTAAATTATTATTGGTCTTTTTTTCCCTAAACATTTCCCAGTTGGGTTTCTTGGGACCAAAGTCCAAAGAAAATTTTGAAACCAAGAGAAGGAATGCTGCTATCAACACCCTGTGTGACCTTGGGGACATCTCTTCACCTGGTTTGGGGGCTTTTTCCTTAGCTGTAAAAGAAATATAGAATCACTAACTTATTGGAGGGATTCCCCAAAAAGGCTTAGCTTCAAAATTACCTGGAGTGTTAGAAAGGAAAGAAGGAAAGAAAGAAAGGAAAGAAAATTAGTTTCTCAGGACCCACTCCTATTCAATGGAATCCATATCTTGGTGGCAAGGCGTAAGAATCAACAGCTTCAACAAGTTCCTCAGGTGTTTCTGATGTCCAACCAGGCAGGAAGATGTCAATTAGATGATTTGGTCTCTTTAACCTGTAAACAGTTATGTCTAATGAGCTGATGGGGAAATAAACAAATAGAGACTTGTAACCAGAAGTAACTTCATCTCAGATAAGCCATCCACAAACAATGACACAGGCTTGTGCCTTGGCTCAGAACTCTGGGTGTTACTTGGCTCCTGACCCAGATGTCAACCTCTAAGCTCTGGGCTGCCACCTGCCTACTTTTTATTTCCCCACTCCCACATTGCTCTTCCTTGTGTGTGGGTGCTGGGCCCAGCCAGCTGGTGATTAGACTGATAAATAGTGCTTAATCCAACCTGTATGATCTGGCCTGGGCTTACCCAGCCTTCTCTTCCTTTTTCCTACCCATCAACTTCTGAATCCAGCCTTGAGACTCCCAAATTCCCAATGCCTGCCCTCTAGACTGATGATTGCTGCTTAAGCTTTTTGAAATTCCTAGAAAAGAATTTCTAAAAATGGCAATATGATGCAAGACAAACAGCAGAACAGAAATGTGTTCCAAAAGTAGAGAACTATATTAGAAGCAGATTTATGTCCCAGAAGCAGAGATGTATACCTTGAAAAGGTCAAGTACTTAATCTAACAGCTGCCATTTTGCACTTTTATTATGTATGAAGCATGGTGCTAGGCACTCTACATGTATATTGTTTTATCCTTTCTTAACTTTTATTTAAGATGAGAACACAAAGGCTCAGAGTGATTAACTTGTCCAAGGTTGGACAGCCAAGAGGCTGTCTGCCAAGAGGCAGAGCAAGGATTCTAATTGAGATCTGACTCAACATCTATGAAGCTGTCTCCTAATCTGTAAAATGGTAGTAATAGTATCCTTATGGTATTGTTGCAAAGATAAGAAACTTAGTGGAAGCAAACATATCAGTCTGCTGAGAGTCAGAAAGCAAGTAAGACTCAGCAAAACATTTCTTTGCTGTTTCTCTCTCTGCTGCAAAATCAGTGTCAAAATGTAAGATGTCTTTGTACTTTCCTCTTGACCAGAGACAAGGTCAAAATGGGGGAATGAATGTGGGTTGAACAAACGAGAATTCAAGGTAGAGAATCATGACATTACAAATGTATGATTAATAATAGAAATGATCTGGGATCACATTGGACAAGTATGACCCAGTAGTAATGGCAAGGATATTTTTGGGGGAGGAGAATAAGTGAAGAGCTTGAGGGAACAACACTTACCTATGATTACTGTCATGACAGATGCAGAAGACCAAGGAAAAGTGAGAATCATATATGTTGGCAGGGACATAGGTTTGGAGGAACAAAGATTCTAGGCAAGATGTGATTCGAATACTGTACTGAAACCAACTAGATTGAAATACACCTAAGTGCTGAGACCCAAAAGTCAAAAGTTCCAGGCAGGAAAAACCATATTTGATATAAGACAACTGAGGGTGGGAATAGGGATCAGTGTGGGGAAAGGGTGGGTGGTCAATGAG